ATTGCCTTTTCTGACTTTGTGGTATATGATCCATCATTCTCCAATTATTCAGGTATTCCATATATTTATTCATATATTTTTACATAATACCATTAAATTAAAATCTAATATATAAATTTTACATGTCAGGTGCAAAACCAGAGTGTGGTGAAGGTATTCTAAAGCAATTGTAAGTACTGAGTGCTTGGTAAATAGAGAGCTTTTGACATTGGAGGTGTAACTTGGCAATGTGAAGTTCCTGGTTCAAGGAGAAGGGAGGGAATAGATTCAGATGTTTTCTGTTTTATAACCTCTTTCAATTCTGATTACTATTTGAGCATTAAGCCTCTTTTTGTTAAAAATCGTCAAATGTTATTAGCCTCTGGAACCCTAACTCATTAACATTCTAAAGTTATGAACAGGTTATTTCAAGTGAATTCAGTGCCGTGTGTGAGGCTGCCAGTCTTTGGATGTGCACCAGATCATATTCCTCTTTGAGGCTAGCAAAGCAGTTTGCCCAAGGTCACAGTTCAGGTACTACTATGAAAAGTAAAGCGTGACTTATGTGGAACTAAGCTTAGATTTATTCCTGCTTTTCCTTATCAGCACTAGTGAAATCCCCCAGCATACATGTTAGCCTTTTAATGTCTGAATGTAATGAAGCCTTTTATGTCATGGTCTCATTCTTAATATTAGTTGGCTATCATTTTAACAGTGTTTAAGAAGTGTTTTCTTAGTAGCTTGGCTAAAACAGCAAGGATGAAAACCAAATATTTATTGATCACGGGTGCTTTACACATCTTAACCTCATTCAGTAAGAAAATTCAATGAGTTGTTATTCCAGGTCCATAATCCCTTTCCCAAAACTCCTTGGAGCGAGAAGATTTCAGAGAGATAACAGTGCATTACCTTCAGACATCTAGTGAAGTCTGGAGCAGCACCCTAAAATCAGCCACATTTACATAGCCATATTACATAGCCATATTTACATATTTAAATCTGTAGGGAAGCCTATGATATTTACACAAAATGGGATAAATGAAGTGAGTTGCTCGTATATATGAAAAAATATTCATAAACGTTTTGAGAACTTTTTGCATTTTTGAATTGTGAATAAGAAACCCTGACCTGAAGTGTCTCCATCTTACAGATAAGAAAACTAGCTTAGAAGAGCCAAGTGATTTGGCAAGATCACAGAGTTAGCAAGTAATGGAGGTGGATAAAACCAAGATTAAAACCCCAGTAGCAAACTGCCTCAGAAGCAAGAATGATGCTGTTTTTAAGTCAATGTCCCAGTAACACTGGAAATTGCAAGCGGAATTCTACAAGGAAGGAGGAAGCAACCAAATCTTCAGTTTCACCATTTAGAGTCTGGTTTTCATTAGTACTAACGATCCGGATGTTTTCTTTCCTTCTTTTTAAAGTGTTTTAGTGACTCACACAGATGCAGTAAAAATTTCAGATTTTGGTACATCTAAGGAACTCAGTGACAAAAGTACCAAGATGTCCTTTGCTGGCACAGTCGCATGGATGGCTCCAGAGGTGATACGGAATGAGCCTGTCTCTGAAAAGTCGATATATGGTGAGTGGCACCATCTGTGCCGACTAGAAAGCCTTTTTCCACTTTCACCGAATCAGTGCTTCTTCCTGCAACAATTTTACTTTCTCAGAATGTTCTCTATGCCCGCTTCTGTTGATTTTAGTCTCATATTATCTGGGGTACCCAGTGTGCTGATACATGGTGAGAAGGATTAGGAGGGAATTAAAGTGCATATGCATTCAGTGATCTGGGGACCCTCAGAGAATATGCTGAACTTTCTAGAAAACTGAAAGTTTACTTCAAATAATAGAGAAGTCTTTCTGAAATGTATTACATAATTCTCACCTTCTTGAGTAAAATACATTAAACAGAGTTTATCTTTTCCTAATGACTCAGCCATCATTACAATATCAACAATGTGCTTTGCTGTGATACGGTTATATGCTCTAAGACCTGTTTGAGATGTATAGGCTGTTTGTCCTTTTACTGAAACAGCCCCTGTGGGCTATGCTTTTTTCTTTAATCTTTATCAACACTTCCTCTGAGGTTATAAGTCTTTACTATTAATAGTATTTTTCCCTGTAATTGCTTTTATTTTACTCTTAAAATTGGAGTCTAGTAACTTTTAGGCTTAAATCACAAAATAATGACATATGTTAAAATTGCATGTAATAACAGAGTAAATAGGATAAAGTAGAAATGTGGATCATTTTTAAGTTGGGTAATTATTACCAAAGTGTCTTCCTTAGGGATTATACCAATTTATATTCTTGCCAGAAATGTGTAAGAGTATTTTCTTAGTCTCGCCAACAAAATGTACTAAACTTCTGGATTTTGCCAATCATATACATAAGAAGCAATGTCTTGGTACAGTTTTAATTTATTCCTCTTATTATAAGTAAGTTTATATATCTTTTATATTTTTAAGAGCCATTTAATTTCTTATTTGTGAACTATCCATATTCTTGGCTTAGTTTTTTGATCTGTATTCTTATCAATTTATAGAGTGTTTTTATATTAAGATTAGCCTTTTGTGTACATCATAGAAACTTTTCACATTTTATTATTTTGCTTATGATTTTTCATGCCAGATTTTTTAATGCAGTTTAATTTCTCAATCTTTCTTCTTTTATGGCTTCTAGATTTCATAGTTTTAAAAGCCTTCATCTCAAACCAATTACAGATTCCTTAAAAAATAAATTAAAAGGCTTCATTGCTCCAAGATTATTATTATTTAATTCTACATATTTTCTTTTAGGATTTTGTGGTATCCTTTTTCACATTTAAACCTTTGATTCATTTAGAATTTTCTTGATGTATGGTGATGTGTGATTTAATTATTTTCCCCAATTATTCCAACAGCATTTATTGACTAAATCAATTTTTCCCACCAATTTGTGATCATAATTAAATTCCTATATGTATTTGGTCTATTTCCGGGTTTCTAGTCCAGTCCATTAGTCTGGCTGTCTATTCATGCACCAGAGTTTATTACTAAGGCCTTATAATGTATCTTAATATCTGGTCTTCTTGGTTGCCCCACAGTGATTTCTTTCTGAGTTTTCCTGGATGCTTCTGTTTTTCTTATAGCAGTATTGGAATTTTAAACTGGGAATATGTATTGATTTCATTAAAATTAATATGTCAGTATTTCTGAAATGTCTTCTGTACATGTTCCTTGTACTACTGTAGGTCTTTCGGAGTGGTCCTTTGGGAGCTGCTGACAGGAGAGATCCCTTACAAAGATGTAGATTCTTCTTCAGCCATTATTTGGGGTGTTGGAAGCAATAGCCTACACCTTCCAGTTCCTTCCACTTGCCCAGATGGATTCAAAATCCTTATGAAACAGACATGGTGAGAATATTGTCTCTAAAACAGCAAAGAAGTCTCTAATGCTATTTTGGAGGGATCTCCTGATGATGGAAAAACTAGGAGTCTTGGGCTGGGCGCCATGGCTCATGCCTATAATCCCAGCACTATGGGAGGCCAAGGCGGGTGGATCGTTTGAGCTTAGGAGTTCCAGACCAGCCTGAGCAAGAGCGAGACCCCATCTCTACTAAAAATAGAAAAAAATTAGCTGGACAACTAAAAATATATGTAGAAAAAATTATCCAGGCATGGTGATGCATGCCTGTAGTCCCAGCTACTCATGAGACTGAGGCAGAAGGATTGCTTGAGCCCAAGAGTTGGAGGTTGCTGTGAGCTAGGCTGACGTTATGGCACTCTAGCCCAGGCAACAGAGTGAAACTCTGTCTCAAAAAAAAAAAAC